AAGAGAAAGAAAGAGAAAGAAAGAGAAAGAGAGAGAAAGAGAAAGAAAGAGAGAGAAAGAAAAAAAGGGAATCCAGAGGAATAAAGTAGCAAGGTCCTGCTCAAGTTTCAGCTCCTACTTATCCAAGTAAGGGGGGGAGTGAGAAACCTCGCTCGGGGGTGTGGGAATAATTGTTGGATAGTCTGATTGTCGGATTTGCTCCCAATCCCTTGCATAATGCATGTTTCTAGGAACATGCAAAGTATTAATGTGTTATGTTTTATTTTCTGTTTGCTCTACTTTGTTCCTTGTTGAAAGTAATAAATGAATATGTAATTAATGTTAAAAATAAATGTTTTAATATGAATAAGAATGCTCTCTGTGGATTCTTGTGTGGACCTTTTGAGAAACAATTATGACATGACTATGTGAAATATGCACAAATGAAATGAGACATAAGAATGGACTATTGAGACTTGAGACAAGATATGATTATGAGAATATGAAAAATGATGACATGATGTACTAAATGAAATTCTGTAATAAGTCAAATGTTGAGTCAATCAAATAATGAATGTATGACATGCATCATAAACACATATAACTCCAAGTGTGCCGCTGAGGCCGCATACCAGTTATATAACCAGGTGTACCATAGGGTCACCAGTGATGCTAACAAGGTGTACCTTAGGGTCACCCACGACGTAACATGCTAACAAGGTGTACCTTAGGGTCACCAGTGATGTAACAAGCTATGAGAAATATGAAACTTCCGTATGGCGCCACATGCATGCATTTATGAGTCGAGTCCATGACATCATTGCATGATAAATAAGTGTATATGTGATATTGATTATGTATGTGTATTGTTTACATGTGACTTATATTTGTTGTGTATGTGCTATCTAACCTTTATTTCTGCATCTGAAACTGAGTGAGATATTTCTCACTCCCTTGTTGTTCTTGTATATGTTTAAATTATGTTGCAGGTGATCATCATCATGAGGATGTTGGTGATGAGGCTTAAGGCTTCAGTTGGGCATGCTCTGATAGGATGTGACATCAGGCATAACTAGGCTTAGTTTAGGATGTTATTGTTTTAAAAGCCTTAGTTTTATTTTCTTTTGTAATTTTGAACGTTCTTGATAAAAGATCAAAATGTGCATCTTTGTCATATTATTTTTATTACATGATTTGAAAGTTATAAATTAATTCTTAACTAGGAGGCACTGCCACCTTTGCTAGAATTAATCTATATTTTCTTTTATATGATTTCTTGAGTTTTGATACTTACATGTTGACTTTTTATGATTTATGAGTTACGAATGTGAATCTTCTACCTGATGATATTTGAGACAATTGTTTTATCCATGAAAGATGTTGTCAACTATAAAAGATTTTATTTACTCAAAAAGAAAAAAAAATATTGTTTACATTTATTGTGTATTAATGTTGGGGTAGAGGGTGTTACACCAACCAGTTAATATAATATTTTAATTATTCAAAACACTTTAACTATTATCCAAAACATGAATCCATCATCAATTTTACATATAATGCCTCAAAATTCATCCAAAGATCATATCCATAATTTCACTTCATAAGGTTTCCCACAGGAACCCACAAAGTACTATAATTCATATAAAAACTTATCTATTTTCAAAATTAATCACATATTCATACATCACATCCAACAAGGAACACGACAGAACAATCAAAAGCCAAAATAGAAAACATTCAAAAATTTCCTGTTTCTCATAAGGTTTCCCGTAGGAACCCATAAGGCACTCTAATCCATATCAAAACATATCTATTCTTGAAACTGAACACATATTTACACTCAACATCTCATAAGGAATGTAACAGAGCAATCAGAAAGAAAAACAGAAAACATTCATATTTTGCTTGTTCCTAGAAGCATGCATCAAGCAACGGATTGGAGGCCAACCCTGCTACCCAACAATTATTCCCACATTCCCGAGTGAGGTTTCTCACTCCCCCCTTACTTGGATAAGCAGAAGATGAAGCTAAAGCAAAATCTGGTTGATCTCCTTCTCTTAGTTCTCCTTGGTCTTCAGAGAGTGTGTTTAGCAGCAGTGTTAAAGTCTGCTATTTATAAATATCAAAAGTGGCAAGAACGGTCCGTTTCGGATCCAGAACGACCCGTTTTGGATCCTTTTATCATGTGTTAAATTCGCATCTAGAACGGCTCGTTCTTAAACCAGAACGGCCCGTTTTGGAGTTGAGTTTAACTCATAACGACCATGTTTGGAATGACCCATTCTTAAACCAGAACGGCCCAATATTCCCAACTAGGGTTATAGGCCTTTTTTGTGGTTTGAAATGCCCCGTTCTAATTTGGGAACGGTCCGTTCCCAACTAGGGTTTATAGGCCTTTTTAGTAGTTTGGAACGGCCCATTCCAGTTTGGGAGGTTCTGGGCTACTAAATCACCCTTATTGAGCTTTGGGCCTTCATATAATTTGTGAAAATTGGAGTGTTACAATACCACCTTTTCTTTTTATGTCAAAATAAATATTTTTCTCCCTTAACAAATTTAATCATGTTACACCTTAACAACTTATTCTTAATTTATATATTTAATTAATATTTTAAAAATTATTATGAAATTTTCTAAAATTAACTAATTATATTTAAAAAAAATATAATTTTCATTATTATCTTTACAAAAATATTTTTAAGTTATATATCAGTATATACATATATAATTAATACTATATAAAAAATACTATTTTATTTAAATATACATATACATAT